AACCTGCCGTTGAAGAAGTTCCATCCATTTCTCACCAAATCATGGAGGAACCCCAAGAAAAAAGGGGGCAGGTGGGCAAGTCGATTGGGTGGGGCATCGATCGCACTTGAGCACATTAGTTCCTTGGTTTGGGTGTATTGGGATGGGGACGAGTTCTGTGAAAGCTCGCTTCGCCAGGTCCTTCAAAGGTAAGGAGGGGAGTGACGGCTCCGGGGAGAGGCTGTTGTATAGGGGATTATGGTGGTGTCTCCAGTGGGGTATCCATATTCATGTTCTTCAACACCCCATTCAACAGGAAGCCGGAACTGGTTCTCCAGCGAAGTCAGACGGTTCCCGTTCCCCACCACAGTCGACTCGGACGGCAGCGCGTCAGTCCCACGCAGGTTCGAGGAAACACTCGAAGATGCCACAGAGGCATTGAACCAGGATCCCAAGAACTCCATAGCCTGAGCCTCAATGCAAAGGAGCATTTCAAGCAAGATATCAGATGATCATTCCCTGCGAATGTGTGAATGTGTGATCATATGGGCCTCAGGCCTGTCCAGGAGCAGAGAAGTCAGAAGTCCGCTCGTATTTGCCCTTTTTGGGCCAATTGTGCATGACTGTTTGTGGATGGTCGCTGTGGTGTTCACTGCAGATCACACAAGTATATCATCATCATTTGTTGTTAGACCATGTTGTTCCATCTTGTTTGAAGCTGTGGGCACATGTGGGCACACCTTGAGACCTCAGACAATAAGGTGTTTTGTGCCGCTTTTTCCCTATCCAAACGGGGACCCATGAGAATTCATGATAAAGTCTAATCCCAGACACTCCATGCGTGCCATATACGCCTGGGGTGGTCTTAGGGGTCAATTGATCGGCATATATGGCAGTCCCATGGAGTGTCTGGGAATGATGTTCGATACAAATTCTATTTCTTGCAGCAACACTTGACTACCCCTTACTCTCCCTGAAACAAACGGTTGGTCGTGGACAATCCCACGGTTGGTCGTGGAGTTCAGGGTCTTCCAGGAGGCCATGGATCCATGGATCGTTGGAGGGAGGGTACCCAGGCGTCCAGGCTACGCCATGAACCTCTCCGACCATCCCAGGCGCCCTTCCCAAGAGAAAACGTCGAGCCTAGGCACTCTATTGGAAGGGCATTGCGTGCCCGGCCCGCTTGGCCACACGGACACCGGTGGTCACCACGGAGATGGGGAGGGGTGAAGCGGTTTCGGTTGGTTCTCATGGGAACAGGTTTTGGGGTCTCTGGCAAACATGGATGAGTGGGAATGGCGCTCTCGAGTTCCATTCTTTTGGGGGAATCCGAGTTGTAGACCGTAGGGCGCCCGTAGAGCATCACATGCTGGTCCAAGCGTGCCGACTCGTGCTGGTCCAAGCGTGGTCAGCGACATCTGGAGACGGCCAATCGAAGAAGAACAGCCATCTTCTCATCTTTGGAAAAAATGGTTTTCAAGTCCAGTCTTCCACATCCGCCCAGTCTTGGAACCAAGACCGTCTGATGACGGAAAGCGCCTGTTTCAAGGGTGTTCCTTGGCCGATGGCAGGCCCTTTTCTACATGGCTGACTTTGGCAATGCCAAGGCGGCCTTGGAAGAGTCCCTGCTCTATGCCACTGGCAGCAAGGAACCTCGCCTCAGTTCTGAGGTGGTCGCATGCGGATGGTGGGTGGTGATCTTGTTGAAGCAAAAATGGTAGAGAGAGAGAGAGGGAGAGTGAAGTTCCAGATGAACAGATACGAAGCACAGAGCTTGAAGGATTTGGGACACGAGTATCAAAAACTATCTCTTGGGTGATGGTAAAATATGGTACTGTAACTATTTTTGTGATATAGTAAGGTCACCTGAGACGAAAACTGCGAGGTTGCTTCCGGCTGTGTATTTCAGCTCAATGAAAGATTCTTGTTGGTCAATTCACTTGCTGGTTTGAGAGGGGTGGTTGGTGGTGCTGCAGATTCAATTCAGGGATCAGGGCAATGCATTTTTGTGAAAAGGAGGTTGTTTGCTGAATGAAGTAGGGAGACTGTTTCTTCCCAAATGTTTCTGTCGCCTAGTTTTGAATAGTTAAGCAATATTAAAACATGTTTGCATGCAATAGAAGGACCACAACTACAACTATAGCTATAAGACCACTTCTATGTTCATCAGCCCAGGTAGCAGTATACGTCCCTGGTTGCAGCCGAAGTCCAATCAGCTTGGAAGTTCCTGGCGTCACCTGACAGACACGTCATCGGACGGACTCCCAACGGCTCCTGGCCCTTTCCGGCGTGACCTGATCCGATCGAAGCACCGAAACCCGGGCAACGCGAGACCCCTCGACCGAGCCTGCGAGGCCAGTCGCCAGGTGTGGCTGAGGAAGTGCGACGCCGAGCTCGCCGGATCCAGCTTGCCCTTGATCGGCGTCGGGATGCACAGCTGGCGGGGCGTGTGGTGGGGCGGGAGGGATCGAAGGACGGCGGTTGGAAGTGGTGGGGTGGGGGAAGTGGAAGTGGTGGGGATGCCGAGAAGAAGTGTGGCCACCAGTCGCTTTTGTTTGATCTGTAGGTTTGTTTTGTTCTGGGGCGATGCAGTCTACCTGCAGCCACTGTCATGTAGACAAGTATCACACTATTTTATATACAAATTCCTGCTGTCCCTAATACCTAGAATCTGCTGTCCCTAATACCTATCCGTCATCATCCACTGTTACTGGCAATGAGATATGCCCAATGTAGGGCCCATTAGTTCGGTATTTGCAGTTCGTTGCCGGCATGGACCAATGGATGGTTCAACTCAGACTCAGACAGCACATGTGAATGGTCTACCGACATGGACCCCTGAAACCACCAGCACCTTCATGGGTCACCAACGGAAGCCCCAGCCCTCTACTTAGGGACCTCCAGCCAGGACACCCCTTGAAGGTCCAGGTAGGTAAGTATGCCATGCATGGAGCGTTTGGGAACATGAAACGTCAGCAAGACCTCAGCAAGACTCTCTCTTTCAAGGTCCCTACTGAATAGAGAGTTGACCGAGTTGACCGATAGCATCCTTCTTAACTTAACACAACCTCGTAGAAGCGGGGGGGGGGCGGCAGGACCTTCATTGGGTGAGAGCATGTGAGTTTCTCGGCCATTGGTCTAAACATGTCTTGACAATGGTTTGGATGGACAGTTCCAATGTGACCATCTATATAAGGAGCCACAGGTCATAGTTTCCCATGTTGCAAGGCAATCTGGATGATATTTTTTGTTCCTCCTCACTGATTCAACTTTATAACAAACACATGCACATCCTGCAGACTCCCGACCAAATTGCAGGGAAGACCATCACAAAACATGCACATCCAAATGCTGGAAGATCCCGAAGATTCCTATATGTTTTAACAAAAGGATGAGTTCAGGGGAGCAAGGGCGCTACTAGTAGCTCCTGGCCTTACTGCTAGGAACAAGAAGCTACTAGGGGCTCCTGGCATCGCTACTAGGAGCAAGGACGCTACTAGTAGCTCCTGGTGCTTTTTGTGGCACTTTTCCAGTTCCCCAAGCCACAATGTCCGTCCTTATTCAGAGGACGAAGCCTACGCTCCACCAGGTCACCGCAGAGGTGAGCAAGGCGGATCGGGGTGCCAGTTCTGCAGGAGAGTAGCCCCAAACAGCTAGACGCAGGAGCAGTCGATGTGACTACTTGTCCGATCGACTACTTGGTGAAGTTCGTTTGACGACCGATTCCCCAACTCACCGGAGAAGTGCCGCGGTGGAACATGATGGAACGGTGAAACTCGTTCGGACGTGGTCGAGTCGTTCGGACGTGGTCGGGTGTCCAAAACACTGAGTTCATCCTTAGGTGCTGAAGTGCAATGCCCTTTCTTTTGCACATCACTTGGGGGGGTTCACCAGCTTGCGGAAGCAATTTGTCGCTTTGCTGAACAAGGAGATGAACGAGCGGATGAGCCAACCAAGGTCAAGGATCACAGGAAACTGCGTTGAAGAGTTGATGGGAAGTTCACATGGATGGCGCTGATGTCTTTTTGCCCAGACCGGCGTGAGGAAAACCCCACATGTTTTTGGCAATATGCGTTACACTTCAGCCACCCAAAGGTTGAAATGGGGCCGTTCGAAGGCATGTGGAAGTCCAACCGTTCGCGATGTTTTTTGTTTTTTTTGCTACGACTTGGTGGACAGGAAGTCTCAAAATTCGGGGGAGGTGCCAAGGGCGCTATCTATTGGGCCAGGAAGTAGGCCAACGGCATGGCCAACGGCCAGTCGTGTCTTCCAACCAGGGTCATCCTGTTTGGGTGTCCTGATTGGACATCTCAAAGTAGTGGGCTGGGTAGTCCAGCCAGGACACCCAGATGGTCGGAATACCTTCGTGGTCACCAGGGTTTTCACCCGGCATTTCATCAATCGATGGGCCTGACTCGTCAGGCCATGTAAAGATTTTTCTCCGAACTCGAACGAGTTCGGTGCTGCAAGCGCCAACTGCAAGCGACTGATTGAGGCCCTGAAAGAGACCGAACCGGAAAACCACGTCGGGTTTGACCGAGGACAACGGCCTTCCAAAGGTTGATTTTCAGGTTGCCATGTGAATCTTCCCCGGTGTGCTGTGCTTTCGACCTGCGGTTCAGGGGCCAAAGATGTCCTGTTGTTTGCAACGAGGAAAAGGTAGGTGGAACAAAAGCATCACCTGGCAACAGCATCACCAGTATACTTGAACAAACCTCCTTTGAACCGGTATTGGAGGCTCATGTCTGCTGTTTGGGATTGGTGACATCTCACTCAAAATCCGAGATCGGTGGAAAGTTCTGATTCACCGGTTCACCATGGTTCACCGGTTCAGAAGGAACCTGCAGGGGGTTGCTATTCACGTGTGCAGTGTCCATAGTAGCCTCCGTAGGCCATCATCCAGAAGATGCACAATGAGGTTCATGCATGTGGTCACACAGTAGACCTGCTACCATCAACATGTAGCGGATGATCCATCACTACATCGGCCCTCCTTCACACCGCACGTGTGCCATCGCTCCATGACGAGCACCGCCCGCCGTGCGCTACTGCGCCTGGGCTGCTGGAATCAGCATCGGCAGGCGCAGACAGGTCGGTGGTTTGGGGGAGGGATGAGGAGGAGGACATAAGGGCTGCTTCCAGACCCAGCACCTCCGCCATAGAAGCTGGAGGATTATGAGGGATGAGGGATGATGATGAGGCAATTCATGGGGGATGATGAGGGACGAGGAATTGTCTCGAAACATGATCGTGAGAGCCAACACGTTCTTTTTCCATCCCACCAACCCCGAGGCCTTGCTAGGACCTTATAAACTGATGTGCCAGATCAGTTGTCGTGTTTTGGAGGTTGGACCCTCAAAGTGGTCATGTGCACTCACTTACTGTGTCAGACACATCAAGATGCAGAGACCGTCCCGGAAATGATGGCATGATTGTGTACATCCGCTGTCCTTCCATTTCACTCCAGAAGGAACCACTCCCTCAATTCAGTTGCCTCCGAGGCACCATTCAAGCCGCGTTCCCGCAAAGGCTTGATGGTCATCCATGGATCTATCACTGGACCTCGTGACTCAAAATGAATTGTGCTCTTTGACGCAGCTATTTCTGGTCATGGCATCCACTAGTTCTGGTCAGCTATAATAGGCTATAACTGGCTATAACAACCAAGTAACAGCGCCACAACCCTTAGCCAGTCTAATGTCACCCATGCCACACTCTAGATACTGACCCACTACCAGACCAGACCCCGATAGATGCAATGAAGAACTGTAGACGGACATTGCAGGATCGTGTGGCCTACTTACATCGACGTATACATTGAGATCCGCAACTGCATGGTCCGCACATGTACACACACACACACACACACACACGCACCACGCCGCTACGATATTTGAACCCTTTCCTTCACTTCCACTGACTAGGTGTAGAATGTTCCTAGAATATGTGTTATTCCAAAGAGCGCTGGAATTCCCTTCATCTTCCAATGGTGACTGCTGCTGCGGATGGCTTCCACTATGTTGCATGCGCTGACGGCACAAGGACCCTTGCCCGTGGCACCTGGTCGTCGAGGTGTGTGGGCCGTTTCCTGCGGCCAAACGCGGCAATGCCAGGTCGACAGAACACCCCCTTGGGCTGCCAGTTCCAAAAAGGGATGCGGTTCGGAGGTCATTTAGACCCTTCAACAAGACCCTTAAACCCCTACCAATTCCCCTACCCTCTTTGGAACTGCTGGGCGTCTTACCGGGTGGCACACCGCACGCCAGGCGCTCCACCGAGACCGGGGTCCGTGCTGCGGTTCTTTGGTCGTGGACGCACGGGTGTCGGAGCTCTTCAGGTCTTACAACCGACCACGTTAATAAGACCTGGAGCATGACCCAAACACGCCTAATGGGACTGGCATAGGACTGCCGAGAAACGGCCAGGGGTGGTGCCAGGGGGGGTCAATTGATCGGCATATATGGCAGTCCCATGGAGCGTGTGGGTTAGCTTTCGTCCTCACGAAAAGCGGAGAGATGGTGCGTTGTTTTTTGGATCAGATCGACACGAAGCCGTCTCAGCCCTTGCTGAGTGAGTGTGATTTTATAGGTCATTCAACAATTATTTGGAGATGTGATCGTGACAGATTTGGACCCTCGAGAATCCTCGAGATAGTTTTGTTCCTCTCCATCAAGTCAACCAGACACCATTTGAACCTTCCGAAGTAGATGACGTCACTTTCACTCTCGTCCGGTGCTCTTCGCTACTTCGCCTTAACCGGCGGTGTCCGGCCGTGCCTTTCACCAGTGAAGTGTTTTCTAGAAAGGGGTGTCTATGAAGCACCCCGGTGTCAGGGCTCCTTACACAACACCCCAGAAGTTCTGGGGTCTCCTCGTGGGGCTTCTTACCATAAAGGGGTCTAGCTGTTTTCAGGAACGTGCTCGCCAGGATCCGCTGTCGTTTGCTCCTGGGCGGTCCGAGAGGGGACAACAGCTTAGAGCCTTGGGAGCAGAATGGCGGAAAAGACTCGCGTGGCTTTACATGGATAGTCCGGGCCGGGGTCAACGGTAGACCCGCCTATCCATGCTTTAGTATGTGTCATTCATGATGTTTTGAGCAGTGGCATTGTTTCATAGTATGGTTGGTCACCTGGCAGGGCGGGCGGAGGAGACTGGTGTTTTTACGTGCCAGTGCTATTGGTGAGAACAAAAAAAGCTCCATGCCAGCTTCCAAGACACCTGCTCCACTTGGCGCTTTCAAGTTTCAAGCATTGCTTGGCTGTAATCCCAATAGGTCGCCCATCGTTGTTTCAGTTGCTCGTTGCCGGGCTCGTGGCCACTCGCCCGTTGGAACCACGAAAAAAGACCACTGGGATCCACAGGGTTGGTATTGGGAACATGGTCGAAAACCATGAGTCATGAGGTGGTGTTCAGGGTTCATGTCAGTCATGTGGATACGGGGATTCATGGTTCTGTTGGCCATGGGCATCCGCTGCAGAAGTGACATTCAAGATCTTTCAAGAAAGACATCGTTGAGAGAGCATGATGGTGTGGCGACTTGTGCAAACTGCAGAGATGCGTCGTAGCTAGGGTCTGTCTCACGTGGTGAACCTTTATTTGGATTGCCATGTCCTTTCCATTCTTGTCATTCTCCAGGTGTTTGCGGGGTGTTTCATAGTTGCTTGACAAACCATCACACATGTTGCATGTGCACATGCGTGCAGTACTGACAGCATACACTTGCATGCATTCTGTTCTTTTTGTTCCACACGCAGATAGTTGCAGTCACATTCAATGTAGATCTGCCAGGACCTTCAAAGTGACCTAACTTGAGATCCCAGTTCGAGGTCACTTAGTCCATAAGGAGGCCACTTACAGGCTCCAAAAAGGTCACGAACTGCAGGTCCTGGTGATATACAGCCTACTTTCCCTTTGTTGATCATACCTGGAACGAGCAGCCCCCGTTCTCCGAGGAGCCCAAAGCACGCACGGCCATTTGTCTCCACGGTATCGGCTGCCTGGGCCAAAAAGAGGGTGTCCGACCAGTGGAAAGGGGCTCGCTCGAGCGGTGCAACGAAAGACATGATTGACATGGCATCGTTCGTAGCGAACCTTGTTCCTAGTAGTAAGGCCAGGAGCGCCCCTAGCGTCCTTGCTCCGTTGGTAGCGATGCCCTTTGATACTAGTAGCTTCTTGTTCCTCTCTCGTTTTTGTTTTTTCTTGGCTTTAGACCACTGAGGTGCACTTGCTGAGTTCGCATGACCACTCGAGATCCACCAAATGACGATCATGGGCATACGTTCCAGTCCGTCCACGTGTGCGAGCAATATTCCTCGCCAGTGCCCATGAGGTGATGACCTGAGCTTTTGGGAGGACGGCGTCTTCCGCACCCAGCCTCTCACCACGGACTTCGCAGGCGAGAGTTACCGCGCGGAAGCGCGGAGAGCGTCCGCGGCGCGGGTTCAGTGGGAGGCCCGTGGGATGAAGATTGGAAAAGAAAGCAAACGTTTAAGGCCATGGCGGCCATAGATGGAGGAGGAAACAGTCCATTGTAGTTTGTTGATCCGCAGCTATTTTACCTGTTAAGATGAGCGTTTTAATCTAAAGTGCTGAGAGGTGCTGAGTCAGCTGAGAGAGGAAATTTCCGTCGCCGGGAGGCTTTGGCGATGCCTCCGATGCACCCAGCGCGGTGTGCGATGAGGTGCGCCGGGCCAAGTTCGCCCGGGCGCTGGCGAGGCGGGCGAATGTGGCCCAGACCGCAGGCAGAAACAGATCCGTCTCTTCAACGCATGGTCCGACGCATGGTCCGACCTGTTGGTTCTTTTTGTAAGATGTTCTTATGGCACGGTTTCCTGCGCCACAGCGCATTGGTGTTTGGATTCCTGGTGTTCCAAATCTTCTTCGTCTTGGTCCTGTTTCGTTGTTTTCCACCTCTCAGCCGCTGAGGTCCTTCTCGTGGACCAGCGTGGTTTCGGCGGCTCGGATCGTTTCAGGAGCCGAAGCACGGATGGGAGCGGTCTGTTTGACTCAATGACCTCACTTTACCCTAGAAGTCAAAGACCATTTTAAAAATGGTTGGTCTGGTTTTGTAGTGTAAATCCCTTAGTGAAACAATGGTTGTTCGGCAAAGGCTATTAAAACAATGGTGGTTCGACTTCTAGGGTTTAGTGGAGATGGTCATGACTACTCACACGGTCCTCTCGTTTGGAGGTATTCTAGCCAGGTTGAATCTGGGGTCAGACTGGACGAACGTAGGGTGAATGGATTCAATACCGCAGTGTATTGTGCTAGAAGGTAAACTGATCGTCGTTATACAGATGGCCTTTGTTGCATTTGTTCCGCTCCCAGCACCACAAAAGAAAAACAACATGTCGCGGTTTTGCGGTTCCGGTGATTTTTTTTTATGGATTTCAATGGGTACTTATGGGTAAATCCCCTTCATATGTTTAGATTTTCCGGTTCCTGAAGCAAATTCGTTCAAACAATTTGTTCCTGAGCCTTCTGCGAACCCAAAGCCGCAGGACCTTGGCGCCGATGGTGGACGAGAGCTTGACGATCTTGAGCGGCCCGGTGCGGAAGTCGACGGTTAAGCGAGAGGGTTGGGTGAAGCCACTGGTGCGATGCATGTGAACTTGACGAAGGTTCCTTGTTTTGGAAGGGATTGCCCAGGTGCCAGTGGGGTCAAGTCCAGCTTCTCAGGTGCTTTTGGTCAACTCAAGACAAAATAAGTCGAGTCGACTCAATTCCATTTGGCATGACATGGATCAGTAGACCCTTGGATCGCGTCATCATACAGTTGGATATCAATTGATCATTGCGCAACTTCATCCTTGCACAGCTCCGAAACCCAGTGGAGCTGATCATTCATCAGCTCATCAACTCATCAACATTCTTGTCGCTGTCATTTCCTGGTATTTAGAAGTTGGAGCTTTTCCCGACCAATTGGACACCAATTTGTCAGTGAGTCACTACGTACTTCATTCTGTCAACCTGAACATGTACCTCATGGCGGCTTCCTAGAATCTCCAGTTCTGCCCAGTTCGTCTTGTGCGTCCTCAGTCGGTTTCTGGCTGTTCCCCTCAGTTCGCCTCTGAACTCAGTTC